CTATTTTTTTATTAATTAAAATTTGCCCTCAGACCCATTCCGACAGATTGACTTAGGGGCTTGAGAACACCCTTAGTAATTGCGATTGCAATCATAATCATTTAATAATAAAAAAATTAATCATATGGTCACAAACCGCGAATATTATAAAATTTTTAAAAACCCGATTAATAATCGATTACAAGCAATTAATCGATTATGATCGATTGGTTTCAACCGCTTGGTCGATTACAGCTGTTTTCAAAAAGGTGTGAACGGTCGCAGATCACCATGTCATGGGGAATTCACGATATTTCCCAGATTTCCGAATTTTTCAAGTTTAATTTTTTACTAATATTCCCACATAGGTATATGAAATCGTTGTTCACACATTTTTAAAAGCAAATCATTATGTAAAATCACGGGAAATCAGGCGATTTTCCGATTTGCCCTAGACAATCTAGAATCTCAAATTTCCTCGATCACAAAAATCATGAAGTCACAACTATTTGCAAACCGCAATTAACAAACCGATTTTAATCATACTTCAATTACATCGGATTGTAAAATGTATACTATAAATTTTTTTTTACCAATCAATAGTAAATGATGAAGCCTGAATTCTCATTTTCTTATGTCAGTATTCAAATGATATTTCTATACATTACGGGTTCATATGTTAGCTTTTATTATCTCAGTGAGCTAGCTTATTTTTTTTATTAAGATGATTCAGAATTAACATTGTTCGAAAATAAGTGAAAATTTGAAAAATCTAAATAACATATTATATACCATCATAAAAAAAAAAAAAAGAATTTATAGACAAAGTCACTAATTTTATTCGGTTATCGCTACGATACATTGCATATGTATCAATACTTGCTGCGTAATATCGAATGCAAATCATAGCCCTGAAGGGTAGGCTATTTTATTAATAAAAATCGTATCATGATAATTTTAAATAATGGGGTTTCAGAGTTAAAATTATTCGACGTTTGAATCTTCTCATTAAGACGATTCAAATAATATGTCTGATTTAAGATATTTTTATTGAATAACTTGTAGATCTTCCCTTGACAGCACTCCTATGGTCAAATAAGTTAATTCTGAAGCCTCCGAAAGATATGGGTAAGCCATAGTAATTTGTTATTACTAAAAAAAGCCCCCGTTATTGTTTAATTATGACGTAGGCTACATTTTTTAAATATTTTTTTGTGGGCGATGCTAGAGCGACGTGCTAACTACTAACAGCTAATAATGCTCTAGTCAGCACATGAATTATGATTAAAATCATTAGATTAGATATTCAATAAACAGATATAAATACAGAAATGGTATGTTACGATCTTCTTTTTCAGCCAATAGAAGTGAACTTTATTATCGTTTATGCTTAATTAGATTTTCAGATACCGTATCGGAATCGAAAACTTTATACTTTTCGCTAACGAACATTTTTTTCGACTCCTTTTAATGTATCAATTGCGCTCCTTTGAGCGTTAGTATAAGCTTAGAACAATTGTACAATTGTTAATTTTTACTACCTTTTTGCATAAACTTGGCTATGAGGGAAGGTAATTCTAAAGTTGATCCGCCTTTCTCTTCAAACGACGTTCCAATGTTGTCTGGAGAAGAAAGCAAAGTCCCACCTAACTTGACTTCACCATCAATACCTGCTCTACCTGGCGGGGACTTGGTCCTTGAATCTACTCCTATTAGTATTAATGCTGAAGAAAGAAACTTGACGTGAGTTTATTAGCAAGTTTCTTTCAACCTTAAATGTTGCTTGATAGACTTAAAACTCTAGCGACACCATAAACATAACAGGTTGTTTTAACACAAACTATATTCTATATACTCATTTTGGGTTTCGATCGGATTATGAATCAGAGAACATCATCTTGCCCATTTTCGTGAAGACCCTGTTCGTTTTATGATGCAAATGGGTGCATTTTATCAAGGAACGGTATGTCTTAATTTTATCAAATAAATTTCAAAATTTTTTTTCGTGTTTATAATAATTATACATTGTTGTCCAAAAAATTGTCCCACAATCTATTATTTGATATATTAGGGGTGGAGAAGCTATAAAAATTATATTGGGACTCGAATATTTTACGAAGGATATACTGAAGAATTGAAAGAACGTGTATTAAATAGCGAACGTGGTAAATATTATTTTATATCTAAGCAATATTATATTGTGCTTATTAATTAACCCTGTTAAAATTAATTTCCGCTCGAATTTTGTTTCGTAGTTCTTTACATGATCGCTTATTTAGCTGAAAAGCAGGTCAATCTTCTTTCTCAGACAATGCCAAATGCCACCCCAAAAATGATCGCTAAGCGAAAAAAAAAACTTGAAAAAGAACTACAGATTGTAGCTAACGGAATGGTAGATAAATTAATTGCTGATCTTAATAGTGTACGATTTATCAGGTTTGTTCCGCAACCTCGACAATAAATCTGAATATTTGATAGATTTGAACAATATTATCATTTCATTTTTTTAGAACTTTCGTCTACTTTGTCAATAATATACTGGTGAGAATGTATCATCAAGGAATACATATATCTGAACGCGAGTTTCATGAGGCAAGTTATATATATATCCTTCTCTTATTATTCTTTAAATTATATTAAAATGATTTTACAATTGTTATTAATTCATAAATTTTTAATAATTTGACAGCTTCGACGTG